GGCTCATAACATGAACCAGATGACAAAGGGTTTCTCAAGGGTAGAAGAATGTCTGGACGACTTGGCTCTCGACGTGCCTGATGCCGGAAGCAGTTTCTAGCATACGTCGAGAAAGCAAAGACAATAGGATGGTTGGATCATCATTTCATTATGGCAATTCCACAAATGGTAAGAGAATGGGGCCTGCCTATGATAATGAGTAAGTTTTCTCATCATTTGCTACACCACCTTTATAAAACATGAAGTTGAAATACTAAAATGGGATTCGAATCCCAGATTTACTAGATGCCACATTTTAGAGGTGTCTGCGTGATCCAACTGAACCAATGAAGGTTCAATGGCTTGATTTAATCATATTTGACTAATTGATTAAACCAGATCACTCTACACTGAGCAGTGCTGATATGGTTCAAATGTTTTACTCTCTTGAAAATTAACATTCATAGGTTTCCAGGGAAATTGAGTTGAGTTCCTTCTAGTTGTGCCTGGTTTTGCAGACAATAAGTTAAAATCGAATTGAATATCGACATCTGCCCGACGCACCGCATTCTTGTCGGAAGTCGGCATGCTTTTCGCTATTACCACTTCTGTAGTTATGTTCTTTGGTACTTCAGTTTTGCACAACTCCAACATCCAACATGTCGGAAATCGACCAGATGACATGTTTGGAGATTGTTTCATCAAATTGTTCTCCGGATCCCATTTTTGTTGCATTGCATTGGAACAGCTTCTTGGTTTGCTGTCATTTAAATTTGATCTTATTATTTAGGTAGAGAGCACTTTATGTTCTTTTTTTCCTCTTGTTTAGAATTCAATAAATTTTTTAAATTTAAAAGTCTTATCAATTTGATCCTCATTGTTATTTGAAATAATTATTAAATTGTTAATAAGACAAGGATAATTTGTATCAGCTTAAGCGATTAAACTACATTTATATGCCATTCATGAATAATTGATAATGGTGGCTCGATGGATTGCTCAGATGCAGGGAAGGGAGGCACTTGTACCCCTAGCTTTTATGATCTAATTACATTTTAGGTCCTCACCTCTCCCAAAATTTTTTGGTAATTGTTTTGGGATACTATCAGATTTAAAATTAATGGAACTAAGCCTTGAGTCCAATTTATTTAATTTTATTACATTTTAAGACCTTTAAATTTTAAAATTAAAAATAAACCCTTAACCGTTTAATTTATGATTTAATTACCTTTTAGGACACCATTATTTATTTTTTATTTTGGTTACAGAAGGTCCACTATGATCGGTGGATTAAACCGTGGGCAAGTTAGCCCTAGCCAGTTCGAGCATGGTCGGTACGTCACTTGGAGGATGATGGAAATAGAGGAAACCAGAGATCTCAGTTCGAGCTAAAGCATCGGATGTGGTATTCGCTTCTCTTTGGATACAGCTGACTTGAACTCTCCACTGTTGGTTCAGGAGGCAAGTTTAGCCCTATCCAGTTTCGAGCATGGTCGGTACGTCACTTGGAGGATGATGGAAATAGAGGAAACCAGAGATCTCAGTTCGAGCTAAAGCATCGGATGTGGTATTCGCTTCTCTTTGGATACAGCTGACTTGAACTCTCCACTGTTGGTTTCAGGAGATTCCGAATTCTTCTGATATAAGCATTATCGCAGCATTGCTTGGGAGATGTCAACTTCCGAACTGCCTCACTGTTGTCCAATTCCACTAAAACGTTCCTGTAGCCTAGGTTCCAAGCACATCAAACCATCAAGGACCGCCAGAGCACGGCCTGGTAGATGGAGCAGCGCCCTATATACCGATGATAACCTGCCATTTCCCTGTGCTGTCGCGAAGAAGACCTCCGCTGGAAGCTTCCATTGTAACCCGGTGAACAGAGCCGTCAGTGTTTAACTTTACACTACAACCGTCGGGGCTTGCCACCTTTGCTTCTGACGTTGGGGCTTCAGCTTCCTATTGCCCCCATTGTTGCTCGCTTTATTAGCTTTAGCCATGTCCAAGCAGACTTTATTGTTAGAGTTGACAGATGTAAAGGTAGTTAGGGTGTTAGGAGATTAGAATCTGTTAAGCAGTTCATTCTTTCCAACTCTTTTCTTCTACTTTCTCTCTTCTATTCCCAGTCGATCAATTCTTCCATCTGTCGATCACCGGCTGTTGACATTTATAGCCTCTGGGATGGACCAAATCTGCCCTTGGAAGACAAAGTTATTCCTCTGCTTCCAAGCCTCCAAACTAAAATGCCAAAGATATGCTTCCAATGAATATCAGTGTTGTCCCAACCTGTATTATGGAGAAGGTTAGAGTCAAGCCATTCAAATAAGTTTGTGAAAAGAAGCTTATCTTGGCCTGGTCCGGTATCAACTGCTCCCAGACACAGCGAGCTCCTTGGCAGTCGCGTAAAATGTGCAACGTGGTCTCCTCGGCACTATAACAGACTGGACAGTGGGAATTCGAAGTAAGGCCACGACGGGCTCGCTCGGCGTTAGTCATGAGCCTTTGATGAACGACCAGCCAGAGGAATGCTTTACACTTTGGGGTCCATCGTAGCTCCACGCCATATTCCATTTATTATCTTGAGCATTCCATCGGTGGTGCTGTAGGCGATTAAAGGCTGATTTGACGGTGCATCCCTGTTTGATCCCACCGCCACAAGGGCCAATCGTCACGCAGGTCATCACGGGGAGGAGGGTAGCTATAACCCATATGAAGGTTTCGTCATCCAACAAATGCTTAAGGAGATGCTGATTTCAGTTGCCATCCTCATTAACAAAGTCACGAACGGTCTCATTGCCAGTGTCCATAGGCGGAGGGTATGTAGGCCACAAGAGGATCACGGTCTGGATCCACGCACGGTCTGGGATCCACGCATCCTTCCAGAACAGGGCCTTGTTTCCATTCCCTATAGACCAATAGATATATCCTGAATGAGTGTTCATATACAAGATAAAGATTTTGAAATAAAGGATCCATTTCTAGCATTAGTAAGACTAGGAATACTTCCCTGGAACCTATACTTGGACTCGAGGACCTGAACCCAAAGTACATCGGGTTGAGTAACAAGCTTGTATCCCAGTTTCACCTAAAAAAAAAGCTTTATTCTGGGTGATGTTATAATTAAGTAGCATATTAAAAGAAGAAATTAACCCCATATATAAGTTTCAAGAAGTTTCTCTTTAATACGAATCAACTTACGTAAATGGTTAAAAAATTGTTATTATTTTTAAAGCTCATCGGTTTGAGTACCGGCGTCTACAAGATGATTAAACATTTATAGTTAAATAACTTACAATTTACGTGATTTGACAAAACCAAGTCTATTGTACGACGATCTTATCTATTCAATCTACCAACGTACAATAACATTAATGACACTAAACATGACATTATCATCAACAATCACTAATCTCCCCCACACCACACACACACACACTAATATTAAGGAAGGATTTCTCCGTATTCTTTTTCTTCTGTCTTTATTTCTAAAACATCAAACAACGTTATTCGTTTGTTAATTTAGTATTAACTAATATCAATTGTGGCTCTTGTTCAATTTAGAAAGGTGAATCATTTATAATTGTTTCAGCCTAAATGTATCTCTAATAAATGATGTGATAGACGTAGAACACTTCTTAATGAAAAAGAAAAGGTCGATATTAGGGGTGTAAACGAGCCGAGTCGAGTTTTAATATTGTTGAGATCGACTCGACTCGAAAATTCTGAAATGGAGCTCGACTCGAAAACTCGCGAGCTTAAAATTTTTAAACTTGAACTCGAAATCCTGAATTGAAGTGAGCAGCTCGAAAAGGCTCGAAATGAAAAAAAAATCTTAAACTTAACTCGATTGAAGCCTCAAACTCAAACTCGAACCTGAACCTTAAATACATGAAAATCTTACTGTATTTAAAAAAATCAATACATAAATATTAATATATTAATAATTTATTTTAAAAAAATAAAATCTTAATATTATATTTCCGAGCTTCTCACGAGCTTTTCGAGTCGAATATCAAGTAGCTCGTTTTGACTTGTTAAGAACTCGAGTCGAGCTCGAGTCGAGTCTATTCGATCCGAGTATTTATTAAGCCTTAATCGAGTAGCTCACGACCTTTCTCGTCTCATTTATGACCCTAGTCAATATACACCCTTAGATTAAAATAACCAATATTATCTCTCACTTCTTCGTAAAATTACCCTGATGTAATTAGTTTTATTTGATCAACATGTCATACTATGATTCTGGGGTTAGAAGTTTAAGAGTCAATTATTACTATAATTTTAAAATTAATAAATTGATCATTAAAATCATCAAACTATAGAATGATCACTACACATTATAAAATAGTGATAAACTTGTTTTTAAAGATTTTTTAAATATTTTAATAAGTTTAATGATATTTAATAATTTCATTAAATTTTACCATCATTTTATAATTTTTAAACATTAAAATATATTATAATATAGTTAAATAATTATTTATGTATTTTACCTAAAATAAAAAAAATGTATGTGCCGGTTGATAAATATAAGAGTAAACTATACATATAGTATCTAAACTATCAATTTTAGCCTGTTTAGTATTTAAACTTTTAATTTTTCAAAATCATACTTAATGTTTAGTTTTGTTTTTTTCAATACCTCATCGTTAAACTTAACAAATTTAATACCTAAACTATTAATTTTGGTTCGTTTTAGTACATAAACTTCCAAATTTTTCTAAAAAAACAACGTTAAGTTTTGAACATGTACTAAAATAAAATAAAAACTGAACTTTAGGAATGGTTTTGAAAAAAATAAAAATTTAGGTATTAAAATAGACCAAAACTGATAGTTTAGGTACTAAACGTGTAATTTACCTAAATATAAATAATATAATTTTAGTAAATCCATTTCTACAGTAAACCATATAATATCCTTCCATGAAGAATTGCTCAGATATATTTAGTAAATTCAAATCTGCAGTAATAAAAGAATCCAAAGTGAATTCCTGGGGGTAATGATTAAGATGTTGTTCTTCATTTCTTTTGAAAACTTAAACCAAATCTAATAAATCAAAGCAAAATTTTGCCACCATGTCATTGCAAAAGCGAACCTTGCTCAAGGTCATCGTTCTCGGCGATAGCGGGTACGATCATTCCGATCTCAATTTTCAATTCCCATTGCTTCTTTCAAGATTTATGGATTTGGTGTTTCGATTTCGTAAAAATGATTATATGTTTAATTTGCTTTCACGTCAATGTAATCAGGGTGGGCAAAACGTCGTTGATGAATCAGTATCCTTTCAAGTTTCAACCGGCATTGGATTTTAAATTTGTTCTTATTTTTGGGTTAAATTTTTAGATCTTGATTTTTTCATTTAAGGTAAAGTGTTTCGGGAATTAACCGGTTGAATTTAGATATGTTCATATGAAGTTTAGTCAGCAATATAAAGCAACCATTGGTGCAGATTTTGTCACTAAAGAACTCCAGATTGACGAACGCAATGTCACTCCAAGTTGTTTCTTTTCCTTTATTATTATTATGATTCATTTTGATTGTTTCCATGTTCTTTATAGATTAAATTTGAAGGGCTTTTTGGATTGGATAGATATGGGATACTGCAGGGCAGGAAAGGTTCAGAGCCTTGGAGTTGCTTTCTATAGAGGTGCAGATTGTTGTGTGCTAGTCTATGATGTTAATGTGATGAAATCATTTGATAACCTTGATAATTGGCATGAGGAGTTTCTTAAACAGGTTTCTCTTTTCCCTTTCTATATGTTCTTCATTTCATTTCCATGTCGTTTTATTGTTGATGTTCGGGTTCGAATTATCCCTTCCAACTAGGGATTAATTTTATGTTAGGTAATGAATTTATAAAATTTTAGGGGCAAAAATAGATTATCAATAGAACATATCTAAATTATATAAAAAAATTAAAATTTTCTAAAGGACGACCTCCCTACCGGCCCCCCTCGGTCCATCCCCGCTTCCAACATGGTCATTTCCAAAGTTCGAACGTGGACTCTTCCTTGACTGCACCCAAACACTTGTTGGTCTTTCCAGACTTTCCTTGTTGGTTTTAGTTATTCATCAAATTGCATGTCACTTGATGTTTTATTATGCCTCTATAACATCCATTGACATGGTTATAAACAATGACAAGGACAATGTGCTGTACATCAGTTTTTTTGGTTTGCAATGCATTATTATTTTCCAGAGGAAAAAGAAAAGCAAAATCCTAGACAACTTTCCCAATGACATTTGGAGGAACAAATTTTGATAAATTCTCTCTGATAAACATACATAGTGGTTACTTATTTGAACCACACACCTTGCATGAGCAAAACTTTCTTGCAAGATGGTGTCTTTTGTTGATTGACCTCGCCAACTGGTTACATGAGCAATCCTAAACTGTTATTTGATGTGGTTATGCTGATACGGTTTCCGATTCTCTTTTCGTGCCAGGCAAATCCTACCGACCCCAAGACGTTTCCATTTATATTGCTTGGAAACAGATAGATTTAGATGGTGGCAATAGTCGAGTGGTAAGGATGTATAGTTTCTATATATACTTGTGAATTATTTTGTCTTCACAGTACCCCAGAGCTTCATTGGTGGTGTCTTGAGCCATATGTAGGTCTCCGAGATGAAAGCAAAAGACTGGTGCTTCGAAAGAAAACATACCTTACTTTGAAACATCAGCAAAAGAAGATATCAACGTCGATGAAGCATTTCATTGCATTGCAAAAACTGCTCTCGCGAATGAGCGCGAGCAGGACATGTTAGTTTATCTCTTTTCATCAAGCACCGCAGATTCAGATATGATCATTATCTTGTCATGCATTTTGTTTACTGCATTGCTGCGTTCTTTAGCATATGCTTTTGGGACATTATAGATAATGTCCTATTTGTGTATGATTTAGCAGATATTTCCAGGGCATCCCAGATGTTGTCACTCAGACCGAGCAAAAAGGTGGCTGTGCATGCTGATTACAAGCCAAGCTCGTTATATTATCGGTTGCTCGATGCTGCAATATTTCCCGGTTCCTATGATTCTTATCCATTTTTTATTTTATATACATTGTATTCTAAAATCCATTGATTGAAGCATTATTGACATTAATTTTGCTTTCGGTAGAGATGAAGTAAAAGAACTAAAATTTGTAGAATCCCAGGTGTTTTTTCTTTTAGTTTTAACTAGGGTTATATGTTCAAATGTAATATTTGGATGAGCTTCCATTCAAGTGATGATGATTGTTCATATTTCAATGGTCTTAATTTATGTAGCAGATTCTTTTGTTGCTTCAGAAACATTTATTCACAACTTTACAACTGCAAGTTTAGTTCATATAACCAAACTTATGAGATATAGGTTTAAAGTTCGAATCTCATCGTCAGATGACCCGTACATATTCAGAACCTATGCTGCATCGGCAGTTATGGTTTCTCCCCAACAAATTAACACCGATTGAGAAATCACTGATATTTGTTCAGCCGAAACTTCCAAATCTCAGAGAACGGACGGAGAACTTCGACAAGAAGGCATGTTCGGAGGGGGACTATGAATGCTTGTATCAGGGTTGCTGCCAATCTTCACTATCAGGACAGTGTTCATTCCCCAGATCATATGTCTGCCTTCCTGGCAGTGCATTGCCATACTCCTGCTCAAACATTCGAACAAAATTCGGGTTTTATAGAACCGGCATATCGATAATAGCATGTTCATAATCACAAAAAATATAGAAAGATACCAGGATTGTTAGCTTTAAATCTGATAGTCAGCCATCCTTTGACAGGGAGTGAAGCAGTACTGAGGTAAGGTGGATCAAAATATATGTTTCCGGATCTGTACTGTTGAAATTCCCATAACCCTCTCCCAGTACATAAAAACTTATGCCCGTGTATGTGCATAGAATGCTCGTCTGATGCATTCAACAGATTCGTCGACTGAAACACGATCTCAGCTTATTCACCGTATTCCAAAATCTTCACCTTCGCCCCCCTCAGCGGATGTGAAACTGGTATCTCTCAAATTACCTACAAAGTCAATGTAATACGGCGGCTCATCCGGAAAATCCGAGGTATAGGATCCACTCAAGTTCCTATAACAAAAATCTTTGATATGGTAATTAATTCCAGTTTTGTATATCAAATATGTTTCTAGTCAACAACAAAAGTTTTAAAGGATAGTTTTACCTGTATAAGCTTGTAGCATCTGTTGAAGGGTTCACCCAGCTTATATTGTTTAAGCTTGAAAGAAGAGTATAGTCCCATATCTGCAAGATCAATTTCCATGGAAGCTGTTATGTACATTCGAGTAGTTATGTTTCTCGTAGGATGTTCTTTGCTCGCGAGGCTTTTCAAATGCTTCCTGAATCGTGTTGCAGAATCATAGTCGGTATAAGAGGGCAGAGTTTTGGGAAAGAAAGGCGGTGACTGTTTGTTGTATCTCCCTCTATACTCGAGAATTGCAGTAGTATTCGTTTTATCATATCCGGTAAAAATCGTATTATCGGTGTAATATTGTCTACCGGCCATGTAATAACGACCGGGAGATTGATTTGCTTCGATTAAAACGTCTATCGTCTGACCAGTTGCTAACATGACATAGCTAGTAGTAAAAGGTTTCAGGTAGCTTCCATCGATTCCAACAACTGTGAGATTATGCCCTGCTATTGCAAAGAAGAACTCTTCATCCATCAATGCATTGACTAATCGAATCAAGTACGTCTTCCCGTAATTGGCTTGCCATCGGTATGTCTTTCTGCAACACAAGATCAATACATCAATACATAATAATGTTTATATATGTTAGTGAACTTAACCTGCTTAGGTGGGGTGATCAATCATCTCAAACTTAAACCGATAGGAAAAGTGTTCAACTAATCTAGAAGCCTGCATGTGAATCTAAGTGTAAAGGATAACAACACTCCCCAGGGGTAATGAGAAGTACTAAAGGAGAAAGGGTTGTCTGGATTTGAGCTCGAAAGCTTTAAATCGAGCTGAATCGGATGAAAAACTCTTAAGCCGATCGGAAATGGTCCGACATTTAGTTAGCTAGATATATGAGAGATTAGTATACCTTTAGAGCAAGCACAGAAATCTCCTGGCTGGCCATTAATGGTATAAGCATCAGATATAGGTATCTTTCCCAGTTCTCAGGATCTCTCTGATTACCTTGTTTACATCATACGTAAACCAAGTTCCTGCATGTATGCGTACATACAATAGGCAAAACCCTAGTCAGATACATGAATCAAAATACATAATAATATTCCACTAGTACATGATACAGATACATACATGCATACAAACATACATACATACATACATAGCAAAGAAATGAAGGGTTAGTACCAAATATGAGAATTTGTTCCCCTTGAGGAGTGGGGAAAGGGTAGGAAGATTGACGATGAGGGTAAACAACAATGGCACCGTGGACGGTGTTCCGAGTCCAATCGGTGTTACTATTAGCATGCCACCATAGAGTCCCTTCCTCCTCGGAAAAACACAACTTGGTAAGTGAAATTGTTGCCAGGTTCAATAGGGCTGCGTGATGTATGCAGAGCCATCTGACCATGGGTTTCTGGGTTGCTTCACCCCATGCCAGGAAATGGGGGAAATCTTTAGCTTTATAACAGATGTGAAATGAAGATCAGAAAAGGGAGAAAATTAGGTTACCAGTGAAGGGTGAGACCATAATCACCATGATTATGAACATTGACAAACACTGTATCACCTTTATGAACATAGATGGTGGGTCCTGGGAAATGGCCATTGACAACCAGCATGCTCTTGGTCTTGCACAGCCTGGTAAATTTCTCTGTCACCTACAAGATCATCATCATCATCATCACTGTATGATATACATACATACATATACATATATATATAAGTACTTACAACAAAGTCATGATAGTGAACTTCAGCTTCAGCTATCCAAGAGGAATCCCAGTTAGGAACAAAAGTAATACAGGGAGTGATGGTGGTGCTACAGCCATGGTTTCTTTGCAGGAAAAATCAATCTTATTTGGTAACTTTTTAAGTTATAAAAAAATGATATGATCCTTTCAATAATCAAAGACTTTTCTTGTGGATAAATGAGGAATGCAAATCCTCTGCCCTATCATCATCACTTTAAGAGAAAATGTGACCAAAAAAAAATTCAGGGTAAACTATTATATTTATACACTGTCATAAAATTAAAAACAATTAAGTTTCAACACTCATGTTATTGATTTAATAAATATTGTACACTTATTTTAGCGATTGTTACATTTTGACTATTGAGTCGTTAACTGTAGTTAATTTGATTAACTAGATGGCATGCTATGTTAGTCAAAGGGTTAATTTTTAATTTTACCGCTGAACTTTAGATAAAAATCAGTTAGACCTTGAATTTAGATGAAGTATCATTTTAAACCTTAAACTTTGGGTAAATCATTTTGACTCTTGAATTCCATCAAAGTCTCTCGTTGCTGCCACCACTCACCATCACTATCAATCGACATCGTCGACTGTTAGACCGTTATTTTTAACGGTGGGTGAACTAAAATAAAATTAGAACGTAATGTTTGGTATGATTTTGAAATAGAAAATAATTAGATGACTAGAACAGAACAAATTGATAGTTGAGGCACTGAAAGTGTAGTTAACCCTAAAACAAAGTAATCCTCGATCCAAGTTTGTTGTTGGTTAAAGGCTTTCGCTTACAATGGCTTCAAAGTACCTCTCTCTCAACTCCAAATTCAACTAACCATCACCTTCGCTCTCACTTTCAGGTGCTTAGACGGCGTCGACTCCTCCTTCCTCATCCGATCATGAAACCCTCACTTTGATCATACGCTCCTCAACCAACGCCACGAGATTCTCCGGCTTCTTGCTCCCGCGTTCACGAGTGCGGGGATCAGCAGCGATTCCCACGAAATGTTGACCGATACCACCATCCAACGAGGACTGGAGATCACGGACCGGACGTTTAATGGCGGATTCAACTGCAAAGTCTTACATTTAGAGTCGGTGATAGAGGCTTGTGTTGATGTAAGCGAGACCCGCCTTGAGTTGATAAAGAGTAGGGTTTTGAAACATATCATTACGGGACGGTTCCGGTTCGAGTGGAAGACGGGAGATGGGGATTGCACCATTTGTTTGGAGGGTTTCAGAGTCGGATCATATGCTGCTCGGATGCTCATGCCATGTTATCATGCTTTTCATCCTAAATGTATCGGAAAATGGCTGTACCTCAGTCATTGCTGTCCTCTTTGTCGGTTTGAGGTGCCACACCTGTACTAGCATAGATACATAGATACTCATCATTGGGAACCTTTTGTACTTCTTTTTCGTCCATTTGCTCCTTTTCCTAAGCATAAACTTGTTCTTGTTATCGATTTTAAACAATTTTACGGGAAACCGAGAATGATGTTTACGGTGTTGCTTGAACACGTGTGGAAGACCATGTTTCCCAATATACTATTTTTGTCATGTGTTGCTCAGCCTTCTTTTGCATCATCCATGGCGTTTTAAATGTGATTATAACATCACTTGCATGCAATGCAGGTCATAAGTGCAATACGATGCTAATTTGATCAGAATCTTATGGATTTATTTCGACCAGATCTTGTAAGATCATTTTTTTAATTCGATCAAATCAAGTTCATGAAATCAGGATAATAGTATAAATTTTCTACATAATACTGATTCAGTGAAATTTTCTGAACATGGCAAGTCTTTCTCTAGGAGTGTTGAACATGTCTATAGTTATCCCACAGGTGATACACTTGTCTATTTGAATTTTCATAATTATGAGCACTTTTACTGGAAAGATGGTTGATTTGTAAGTGGAAAAAAAAATTGCAGATGTTCATATCTGTAGTTAGTGTGCCTTTGGATGATGCATTCGGGGGAGGCAACTTGCCGGTCTTTGTGTTCGGGTCGATAACGGCTGCCGTCAGTGCATTGTTGGAGGTACTGGCGTTGCCGAACCCGCCGAAACAAGTGTCCCTCTCGCCGGGAATGGATGGTGGCCATTAGTACCATCTAACGGTATGTGTGATTTCTCACGCATGCATTCAGTCCTATTGTGTTGAAGTGATGGTAAAGGAGTCCTTAAGAAAAATTAAATTTTGTAAAGGAGTGCCTTTTAAGAAAAAGGGTTAAATTTTATTAAGCAGAGAAGTAAATAACATAAGATTAATGTGAATTAGACTAGACATGAAGTATAAAATTTAATGTGATTTGATTTTGTCTTCGTAACGGATAATAGAAACAATAACTCGATATAAAACTCACAAAAAGTACAAATAATACATAAAAGGTTTATATCTAGGGATGGGCATGGGACAAAACCCGACGGGTTCCGACCCGACCCGATCCGATTGGGTTTTTTTTAAAAATTTGGATTCGGGGCGGGTCGGGTTCGGGTTTAGGGTGAAAAATACCCGACCCGAAAAAAATATAATTTTATCTTATATATTTAGGAATAATTACAATAATATCCCTCTATATATTATTTTTTTCAATTAAGTCACTATTTTTTATTGAATAAAAATAATAGTTTTTATTATTTCGGGTCGGGTTTTTAAGTTATATATCGGGTCGGGTGAAATCTTATTTTGGTCAGGTCGGGTCTCGGTAGAGGATTCATTGTTCTCGGGTCGGGTGGACCAAAAACCTGACCCAACCAGACCCATGCCCATCCCTATTTATATCATATAGCTTATATATTATATATATATATGGGTAAACTACATGTTGAATTAAACTTTACTCTCTCTCTTTCATTTATACTTTTAATTTTTTTCAATTTACTCACTGAATTTTATAGATTAATTTTTTTGTCAATTCACCATTAAATAATTAACAACATTATGAAATGAACGTATTTTAATCAAAACGACGTCGGTTTAGTCTAATTTTTTTCCAGGAATTCAAAACGATGTCGTTTTGATGTAAGTTACCATATCTTAACTTCGTTTAATTATTTAACGACGGAGTGACACAACAAAACTCAATTTATAAAATTCGTGAGTAAATTAAAGAAATTAAAAGTACAATGAGTGAAAAAGAGAGAGTAAAGTTCAATTACCAAAAGTGTAATTTATCACTATATCTATATATCAAAACACTCCTAACATTTATATATACAAATTTCATTTATTATTGATTTTCAATTTTCAAAACTTCGATTCTTAAATAAGTTAATTTCCCTTTAAATATCACCTTAAAGCATCATTTATCTTCAATAACCTTTTTAATTTAAATATTTTTTAGGCACTTAACTTTTCCCTTTGTATTCATTCCTACTCTGCCTCTGCATTAACTATTGGACAAATTACATATTTAGTATCTGAATTATTAGTTTTGGTACGTTTTAGTATCTAATTTTTTAATTTTTTTCAAAATCAAACATAACATTTAGTTTTCATTTTATTTTAATACCCCACCGTTAAAAACTTAAAGCATTTAGTACCAAAACTATAAGTTTGGTCCGTTTTAGTACTTAAACTTTCAAAATTTTCAAAACTTAGCGTTAAATTTTGAACGGGTACTAAAATGAAACAAAAACGAAAGTTTTTAATGGTAGTGTACTAAAAGAAACAAAAACTAAACTTTAGGTATGATTTTAAAAAATTTAAAAGTTTAAGTATTAAAATGGGTCAAACTAACAGTTTAAGTACTAAATGAGTAATTTACCTAAAGGATTTTCACCAGGAGGGAGGAATGGGGTTTCTTCTCCGATCTTCACATTTTTCCAATCTTTTCTCCCTCCATTTACTCCCAAATTTGGACTTGAGCTAATGTTTGATGTTGAAGGAATGCTATGCAAGTTTCAATTCATACATTCAAGGCATGCCATTGCTATGAAATCCTTATTGAAAGATTGTCTAATGGAGACATCAATGCTCTGTATGGTTTTATCAATTAGGAGAATATGATGAATTAGGCTGCCGCACTCTAAAACAATGGTGAAAAGCCCTTGCTCTCAGCTGCTCGTAATTGGCAATCAAAAGAGCTGTGAATGTTCTCACTCATTACAATATGTTGTTTATCTGCTCATAATTGGTTATGATTGATGATGATGATGATGATGCTATTGTTTAAACATTATTGCACTTAAATTCTCACCTACCAACACCAAATTCTCAACTGCCACCATTTTCCATACCCCAAATAGAAAAGAAAACCAAAAGTAAATCCCACCATTTTCTCTCCTACTTTCACTCTTTCCATGAATACTGGAAATCCTTTTAAAAGAAAAGATACAAATTTTCTCTTTTTTTTTTTCCTGCATGAACTGCTTATTCTCCCAAAACTCCCAAGTTTATTTGATTTAACCATTGAAGTTTTCTCAAGAGTTTAGTCAAATGGATATGGATTGGTTGGTTTCGTGGATGAATCTACCTTCATTGCATATAAACAGCTATTTACTGCCCTTTCTTCGATTCCATTTCGCACTATGTGCTGCCATTTAGCTGGTATGGGTTTTTCTTCTACAACTTCCTGGGATTTCATTTCTTTGAAGACTTTTTATCGGGATTTCGAGGTGCCCCTGTTGGTTTAATCTTTCACCCAGCTTCACATATCTATAATGGCGTGGTTTCCAAGTGTCGGATCCTTCATGGCAGGTGCCCTTTTTCACTCTTTTCCTGGTTTTACATTCAAATTTGGTTTTGTTGATGGGAATAAGATGATATCATCAGTCGTGAGCGGTTCACCCTTCTAAGTTGGGTGGAAATTTGCGAATCGATGAAAGAATGATAGTTGATCATTAGGATCGACCAGTTACGAGTAGTCCATCCTCTTTCTAATCTTGATTGTACTATTTATAGTGAGCATGAATTTTAGATTTCGCTCAAGTCATAAGGTAATGATGATTATTTGTACACCTGTTAGGGTTTTGTTTAGGTCTCGTCTATGCACTATAATTGATATGAGAGTTTATGTTTGGGGACATAAGCTTTTAAGGGCTCCAACAAGATGAGAGGTACGTGTAAAGACTAATTGTTGATAAATAAAGTGCTGAGGGATCGAGTGTGACGGAGATTGAGAGGTTTCCGGAGGGTGTCTCTGGAGGTATAATATGGTTCTTTCACTTTGAACCATGATCTTCTTTTTTTGTGAATTGGTAAAACTATTGCAGGTATTTAGCCACCCCATGGTTATCAAGTCCTCATTTTCAGACTGCTTTTCTCAATTTCTTTGGGAACCCTCCTGCTTTCAGCTACCGCAGGTCTCAAAATTTCCACTATGCTCTCTCTTAGGATGTTTTTGATTTAGAACGAAATCATATATTTATATATGTTGGTCCACGTGCAACTTTTTCAGACAACTTTTTCATACTTCTGATGGTGGAACCATAGCTCTAGACTGGCTCACAAGTTCTGACGGTAAGTGCAAGACTTTTAGATTTGTTGTGTGTGTGTGTGTGTTTTTTTTTTTGGAATCTTTTAGGATTTTGTGCAAGGTTAAGTTTTGAATATTTGATGCCTTCTTTTTCTCTCTTGGGTGATATATGATTAGAGCAACTAAGAAAATGTTAAAAGGGTGCATAATGCATTTGGAGACAATTAAGCTATCAAAGTACCCATGGAGACTACCTCAAACTGAACGAGTTGAAAAATTCATGGTTTGGGCTATAAAAGTTCTTACTTTTAATCTGTTTGATAATCTCACAGTTTCAAGAGGTATCTGTGAGACGAATGACGCTATCTCGAAGGACGACACGACTCCTTTGGTGGTTGTAATTCCTGGCTTAACAAGTGATTCTGCTTCTTCTGTGAGTTAAATATCTGCTGGTGATTTGAATTATGGAAGTTATGAAAGAGATTGTTGTGGAATATAGTTTACTAAATTGGGATTTTCTTGATATAATTCTTGTGACAGTACATTAAGCACCTTGCATTTGGATTCGCAAAACATGGATGGAATGTTGTAGTTAGCAACCACCGAGGACTCGGTGGCATTTCGATTACTGTGAGTTGTCCATTTTCTTCTATGTATTTCTTTTTTTCGGTTGGTCCGTTTGAGTTGGAATTTTACTGGACACTGAACTTCCATATAACTATTTTCCATTGGCCTGTGAAATCAACCAACATTAAGAAATACTTTGGTTTTTTGTTTAACTAATGAGCTTTACAAACAATGAAGTTCATGGACGGTTGATCGAAACACAGTAATAGTTCGATTCAGAAAAGGATATAACATTAGGTATTCAACCTGATAATGGTAGCTCAGTTAGGCCTATGTTTCTCATATGTTTCATTTTCCTTAAATACCTGTATCTGATAGATATTCAAGAACCATGGGAATCTGTCCTTCCTACCATATGGACATACTTCGGAAAAAAGTTTTACCGTACCTGTATATAGTGCTGAACTCCGTGTCCGAGTAAAATAGAATTAGGTTGTGCTTGGCCTGTATGCCATGCTCCAATGAAGATGTATGTATGAATGAAAACTAGAGTTAATTGGTTAAAAGCTGAGGTGTCTTGTACCTCCTCTGGAAAATTTTGGAGATGCTAAGAGCTATCTTAAAGTCTAATAAAGATCTGTCCTCACTTAACCATTCTGTTAATACTAATAATTTCTTCATGATTTTTATCAAAACTTAACATTGTTAATGTGTAATGAATTTATTTCTTTAATGTTGTATTTTGTAATAACACTTTTGCAGTCTGATTGCTTTTATAATGCTGGCTGCACAGAGGATGCCCGAGCAGTCATTGATTATCTCCATCGTCAATACCCGAAGGCTCCTTTATTTGCCATTGGAACTAGCATTGGTGCCAACATTCTGGTGTGTTACTTGATATGCAATTTTTATTCTTTGGGATTTTTTATTACAAACTCTATTGCTCGAATTACCTCTCCTGCATAGCTACGACTGGTGTCATCTATGTTAGATGCCTCTTATTCACTGTTGATGTATAAGGATATTTCCTCGTCTTAAAAGAAAGAACTGTTTAGCATCTCCGGTTCTTGTGAATTCCCTCTTTTCAGCTTATTTAGATTGGAATAAGTTGGTTTGTAGTCCA